ACAACTTGCTGCTGTTGATGGGTTATGTGACTTTGTTTCAAAAGTGATTGGTGCATCTGAGCCTGCTAGGACATATCATGTGAATCTTTCGATTTTCACTTCGATCCCTGATTTTTGGAGTATTGGTCAGATATTTCCTATAGTTCCGATTCATCGATTGGATGAAAAGCCTGAAGTGAGAGGGATTTTGTCTGATTTAACTTGCGACAGTGATGGAAAGATTGATAAGTTCATTGGAGGTGAAACAAGCTTGCCTTTGCATGAGCTGGAAGGCAACGTTAGTGGTAGCAGTGGTGGTGCTAATGGTCGGTACTATTTGGGGATGTTCTTGGGTGGGGCTTACGAGGAGGCCCTCGGTGGAGTCCACAACCTGTTTGGTGGCCCAAGTATTGTTAGGGTGTCGCAAAGTGATGGCCCATATAGCTTCGCCGTTACGCGGGCGATGCCTGGGCCATCATGTGGGGATGTCCTCCGGGTGATGCAGCACGAGCCCGAGCTCATGTTCGAGACTCTCAAGCACCGTGCCGAAGAATTTTTTGGACAGGACCATGGCAATGATGGCTCCAATGCTACTTTAGCAAGCAGCCTTGCTCGCTCTTTCCAAAACATGCCTTATCTCGAAGCGGTGTCTTCTTGTTCGTTGACTGCCATGAATAACAATGGTTTTTACTATTGCAATGAGGAAGATTACAACGATGTCGTGGAGTCTGGGGCTGGTGAGGACGAGCAGTGGTCCTATTGCTACGCCTGAGGCAGCGTTTTACTATTTGCCTTATCCCATGATTTGTCAGTCATTGGATGTCTCATTGTTTTAATTTTTTCCCCTTCTAATTGTTAATTTCCATCTCTAGTGAGCAAAAGGTGTTAGCAGACAGGGTCTTTTGCGTTTTGTGGGGAAGGAGGGATGAGAACCGAATCCACCCTTTTCCTAAAATGGGATCTTATTCCCTCTTGTTCATGTTTCTGTTAAGTGTACTTTCTCTGTTTTAGCTTAAAATTTTCGATTTTGCTTTCATTCTTGTTTTTACTCTGATGGATGTTGCTCCCTTATTCTTCATTCTTTTGAACCTTTATGCATGTTACTTGTAGAAAAGGTTAGATAACAAGATTCTGAAATTATGACATGCGGAGTTTGATTGTGTTGTATCTTGTCTTTGCTTTAACTGCAACGGCTGCCCATTTGACCCAAACCAGAGTCCCACCGATTGCCTGAAGCTTTTAATTGTGTTTCAATTTTGAATTCGTTGAATTCAAGGTAGGTTTTCCTTTTTTCTTTTCTTCTTTTGCAACGAATGTGGGGTACCTGCCTTTTGTGCGTTGTGAAGCGTGGTTTGATTCGCTTGCTCCTTCCTTGAGTTATTTATGGTTTCATTTTGTTGACCTCAATTTTGTGGGCTTCTGGTTGGACTGAGGTCCGCTTTGTGGTTAAGATGGGACGTAGGGCTGAACTATTAGGATAAAAGACGTTAAGTTTTGGTGCTTGTGATGTAAATTTTGCATTGCAAGAGTAGATGAGATTGCTCCAAACAGCAGTCACATGGTCAACCAGAGAAATCCGATGAAGGATTGGATTGATTCTACAATTAAGAAAAATATTGAATATCTAGTATTATGGTTTTGAAGGGTGATGGTAGTGTTTGGACACGTTGAATATACTGGCAATTTTTTGAGGAGAAACAGTCAAGATACCATGATTTTTCTTTATAGATGGCTAAGCCTTAAAAGCTAATGAGAATAGGACTGTTTGCTTCCATGATAGGTAATTTGACTTTGGATGCTTATCCATCCATCTTGTGCTTTGCTTTCAATTTTAACCAGAGCTGTTTCACTTTATTCTTCATGATGATTTGAAAATATTCTGAGTAGGGGTGAGTAAATGGTCAATTCGGTCGGTTCGGTTTGAAAAAATCAATAATCGATTTAATCGATTTTTATTTAACAAATAATCGAACCGATCGAATATTATTAAATAACCGATCATAACCGAACCGACCAAAATCGATTCGGTTCGGTCGGTTCGGTTAAATAACCGATTTTTTTATCATTTTCTTCCTATATGAATAATTATTTAACCATAAATTCAATTCAATTAAAATTCAAACTCTAGTATCATTCAAACTAAATTACTAAAGAATTTAATAATTTCAACAATATTTTACCAAAAAATAAATAAATAAAAATATTTATTTCAATTTTTTTATTTTTAATTATTAAAAGGTCGGTTAATTCGGTCAGTACGGTTATCAATTTTAAAAATAAAAAATCGATCGAATTAACCAATTTAACCGATTTAAAAAATCGATTATAATTAAAATCGAATAACCGAACCGATTCAACCGATTTCATTCGGTTTTGGTCGGTCTAGTCGGTTCAAATCGACTTTTGCTCACTCCTAATTCTGAGAGAATAAAGAAAGCATTCGTGAACAGATAAAATCAAGAAAAAAGTAACGAAAATTTCTCTTTTCTGTGAGTAGTAAGCCAGATTTGTAAAGAGTTGAATTGTTATTATCTTTGTAAAATATAAGCTTTGATCATTTCTATGATAATTTAGGCATGACTTGGCTGCTTGGTGAGAGCTTTTTAATTGGTTCGGGGTGTGCGTTTTATGATTAAATTATTTGTGAGAAGATTCTTTATCACTCATCTTAATAAGACTTGGTTCGATACTTGTTCAAAGAAAGAAGAAATGAATAATTTAGACAGAAAAAAGGTACTAGTACAATAATAATTCATTTCTGTCAAATCTAAGATAAACAAGTTGCTACCTACCAGAATTATTGGAGATTACTTTAAAATGGAATTGGCATAACATAACCAAAATGAAGATTCAGTAACATATTATGATGATTGATTGTGAACTGAATAGAACTTTTTTGGCATGCTCTGACATCCAAACATGGACCAAGGGGGGGGTAGATTGTCATGTCCTGAATGACTACTTTTTTTCAAGTTCAGTAGCTCTTTTGCAGACACACAGCAAGAGCACAATCTTACATGTCGATTTGCTTGGATGTTTTTTAGCTGGAATCAATGTACTTGTTACTGTTTTACCATACTTTCTAGTAGAATGTCATATATTAGAATCGATGAAGATAGATTTGCCCAGAATATTAATGATTTTACAGTTGAATTTGATAGCAGATACATAAATCAGGGGGAGGTGGGTGCTGCTTCTGGCATCATGATTCATAGCATTGAATCGAATTAAGAATGTATAGATATTAGATTCTTTCAGATTGTAAAGATATTTGATTCTTGCCAAGTGGTATGCTGAATCTATGGAGTTGTGCCTCTAGGTCACACACAAGTAGAGCAATGAGGTGGGGCTCTTAACATTTGGAATATTTAACAAATTTGATTGACATTGGCTTTGAGCTTGGGAATTGGGCATATCACAAAGTAACAAGAAGAGAGGATGAGATGCCTCTGATTTAG